AACAACTCGCGAGCGGAGTAAAAATGATGAGATCGCGTGGTTTAACGTCACGCAATCTTCGATTTATTATTGGACAATATAATAACAGTATCTGTTGCTATATTACTAGTTATTAGTTACAGCAGTGCGCAAGGACGTAATGCTACGATAATCGAATCACATGCAAATCGAGTTTGACACTCGAATTCTATTTATCTCGATCGATTATCTTTGTAGTTATTTTGACTTGGGGGCTTGTTGTTTTCTTTTGTTAGATTTTGTGGATGTATCTTAGCGTTACCTTGTCTTTACCATTTTCGTGTACTTGTAATTTTTTTACCTCTGTCTTATATTTCTTATTAGCGACACGGTTTTGATATACAAGAAGAACAGGTTTAAATTCTGGGCGTGGATATGATCTTTCTCTTGTATGCCAGTTTATTGTATAAAAGCATTTATGCCTGTACAGAGACCGAATGAGTAGGATAGTATTTTGGAATCTCTTATTACATCATCAATCGCAAAAAGTATACACATATACATATGTTCTATATTAATTTTATCTCACATAAGTAAACTTTTCACACTCATGATTGGCAATATAATAATCACTTACTCAAAAGTCATCGGTCGCCCTTTCGCCAGTTGTGGATAACCTCATAATGAATGACTGTATTCCACACCTGCAAACCTGCAAAATTTCATTGCGCATTAGCAGCAAACAGTTCACATAACCGGAGTCATGTTTATGATAGAGGTTTGCTAATAACCCGGATGATTGCAGGAACACAAAGAATTGTCAAGAAGAATGAAAAGTGGTAAACTTCGAGCTGTGGAATATTGAATAACATATAATACCAGCATGAATTCAACAAAACTTCACTCATGCAAACAATTTAACTATTGCGAGGAACGTTTATTCACAACGAGGTGTTCGCAAAAGCCTACAAACAATTCAACAACAATGTTTTTGAATTCAGAATAACGTAATGGCATATGAAAGCGAGATGTATGGAAAAAAATCATGTTAATTACTCATGTACCTATATTTTGAGGCAATAATGAAGCTTGCTACTGAATAACGTCCAGCCACTCTCGATCTTATTTGACGTTGCATATTAAAGAGCTGTCGTCATCATTTGGCTGTTCTCGAGAAGCAAAGGATAATGATAATACATTTTCGTTTCATGTAAAAATTGGTCGCATTCGCAAAGAGTTGGTCAACTCAGTAGGGGAACAAGTATATCTCTTTAAAATTGGATTCGTGCTTCAAGGGATAGAGGTTAGAGCATTCTTGGCAAGGTTCATTATGGACGTCCTTGCGAAGAAGTGAAGTCAGAAAAAATATTGTCGACTATTCATAAACACAAACCCTTATCTTAGCTACTCAGATAGGTACTTCTAAGAGTTAGTTAAATATATTTAACTTAAGTTTAAATAACACACTGCAATCTTTATGACAATCGGCCCAACATATTAATTAGCAATTATATTCGAAGCAACAGGCATTCTAGGCCATTCTTGTAAAATTTAAAGTACTGAAGCAAGGGCTGTTCAGCGCTTTTCGAATTTTATTTAGAATCACAACCAATGTTGATGTATCAAACTTATCGAGTTTTTTTGTTATCGAAATAACGTCAGCAAAATCGACGCCTTTAAATAGGAAACTTGCATAATTCGAAAGATAGATAACAGGGCGGTGGGAATTGGTGAAATCTTGAGCCTTCCCAATCGCAAGTTTTCCGTGCGATTAATGCTGCGACAAAGAAGAGTTCAACCTAGAATGGAAGACCGAGATCAATGTCCGATCGAAACGTAGGCTACTTAGCTCAAGAAGTTCGAAATACGTTACGAACTGGAGCAGCCGATGAATAAAGATTTAAACATTAGAATTATTCGAATTTATCTTTACGAAGCTGGTTTCATAGTCGTGTTGGGAAGAGAACCCCCTTCCTTTCTGAGAATAATCGGGCTTCATTGATGCCGGGAGCGAGAAATACGGGTTCGTGAATGAAAAGCATAATATGGATTAACTGTATCAAATTGATAAGGTGCCAAAAAATATATACTGGTTCCTTGCGGGGCAAGCACGGCATAATGAGATTGTTTGTCAATATAAAAGTTTTAGACATTATTATTACGTTGTAGATAATGTTTTCCAACCTATCGGAAGAAGGATTTGTTTGGAAAGTTGTCCAATAATAAATCGAAGATTGCGTGACGTTAAACCACGCGATCTCATCATTTTTACTCCGCTCGCGAGTTGTTTGCAGCATCCTTTGCAATATGGACGATAACTCTCCGTTAGACGATTGGGATTGGTCAAACGATGATACGAACAGATCATACATTGAGCCATCAACACGCTGGTCTCGCGAAAAGACACGATACCTGTTTAAGACGAATTTCTTAACACCTTACAAAATATGTCTACTAGCATTGATAGATGCTTATTGTGATCAAGGGAATGAAGACTTTGAAGTACCATTATTATATTTCCTAATTGATAGGTTGAGCGTTTGCGTGAGTCGTCTTAACAATGAATATGATATTCAAGAGCAACGCTTAATTTGAGATGTATTAATTGACTTCAATGAATAAATGAAAATTAAATGGTAGGATGATTATAGCTATCCGGAGCCAACACTACCTGAGCTTTGTGTAAGGATGGAAGAAAGTGATAGTGCTAATGGAAAATCGATAAAAATGACTCTCTTCGATAAGGTGATCTGCAGATAATTGACAGTCTCTCAACGCGTTCAAATATTGAGGTCATAATCTCTGTTGACGTGATTATTACAGTTGAGAGATCTCGAAACACCACATGAATTTATCGCGTATATACAACGTAGGTGTTTGCAGTTAAATACATTTTAACGGATAATAAAAATTCTCTAACTTGTACTGATGTATTAAGATACGGGAACCCTGTTAACAAGAAATGAAAAAGACGAGGTTTAGAATGCATGCGTTTTGTTGATGTTACTCAATATATTTACTAATATCATATGCTATTTATACAGGGGAAAGGACTGGTAAGACGATTACTTAGTAAAGTTTGTTATGTTAATTTTTGAGTTCCAGCTATTTAATTGGTTAATTTTTAATAGTCTCGTTACAGTCTATTCGGCATTTTCGTGCGTCGATGCCATATTGAATGTTTGCGCTTGTCTTTTGCTGAGATTTCACTTATTTGGAATGCGTTTGTAGAATACAAATTATCATGTCTTTCACTTGAGCCTGATAATAGTGTGTATACTTTATCTCATGTGGCAAAAGAGTATACCATGCATAAACAAGGTAGTGTGTCAAATGTTATCTGTATTTCATTTCGCACGTCTCTGATTTAAGCGTGTCTTTGTTAGAGATTATTTCTAAAAACGATGCGGAGAAGTTTGCAGTGTATGTAATAACTCAACTACAGTGTGAGTACGACCTAATGATTATGAGTAACATCTTCATGAATTGTTGGACTAATGGCTACTTTTACTTAAACATGAAGTATATGGAGGAATACTACCTCCTCATCTTGAGAGTAAAATACGAATGATTCACAAAAGACTTCCCGAGATATCCACTATATATTACATAGAGTAAGTTACACTGCATTATTATTTCTACTTAGGCGGCGGAATGTTAATTTCAGATTCTGATGATTAGATATATAGACTGTATGCAATCAGGGGAATATGAAGGCGCTTTACGTAATTTCTACAATTTTTCTAACTTCTGTCCAGTGGATGAAGCATACAGGTATGAAATGGGGGTTTGTTGATTATAATAAATATATTATCACTGCTGTGCTTTCTTTAGTAAGTCGTGGTATCAGCATGTGCTATTGAATCTCGTAAAACTGCATGCTAAATTTGGACACAAGGAGCAGGCATTGTTGGTATGATATTTGAATTCAGGTAACCGTAAGCATGAATGCATCATTTTCTTTATTAATTAATACTCACCTATAGGCGATATCGGAAACCATAAGAATGGCGCGTGAGAGTAATGATCAAGAATGTCTACGATTTGCACTAAGGTATTTGCTGATGATGTTACTATCACGCTAGTGCGATACATCATGACATATGACACTTGTATGCTTAATACTATTCATGTATTATACTATTAGCTGGTTGTATTATCTTAAATCGTATGAATACGTCGAATCAATACGTCTTGGCGCGACAGAACAGCAAATGCTAGATTCGATGATTGACAAAGCTAAGGAGGCAAACTTCAGCAGCCTACAGTCGCTGGGTGAATTGGGGAAAGCAGCAAAAAAGCTTCAACAGGCAATCATTAAACATTGTTTTATAAGAGATTATAACCGATGTCAGTTATCAACTGATTATTTGTCATGGATAACCTTAGGGTGAATCTCCCACTGATGTCTTCGAGTCTCTCCTGAAAAGCTCTTCGTTGAATCTAAGTGCACCTTGTGCTGTGAACGAGCAATCTCATCTTCTGTTGGCTAGTGTCTGGGACATTTATGGTGACTATAATTCGATGTTTTCATTGGAAGACAGCACATGCAAGCGAGGTGCTAACAGTAATCTAATAGGCAACAATGGATTGTCCACTTTGTACTCATCTCAAATAATAACACAGAAACGTCCAAATCCCGAAGATAGTGTTATTGCATATTGCCAAATAGCCGAACATGTAACGAATGATATATGATTTGATACAGCGTCGTCATTTTCAGTTCCATTAATCCTTTCATAACGCACGATCGTTCTACTATATCAGCATATGTTAAATGGAAATTATACAGAGGCAATAAGACTGTTTATGGACTCGATCAATATTTTTATTGATATACGCCGAGCGGCATCTCAATGGATATCCTCTCTTGGAAGAATAAAATATACCAAAAGTCTAGAGAGGTAAGGAATGACAAGAAGTGATAATTACGTCGTATTATTATGTTATCATTCGATGATCATAACATGCATTCAGCTGCGAGTTCTATAACATCGAAGCATTAGAGATCCAACTACGTGCAGCCTGCCAATACGATCCAATAGTAGCTGCCGATTTTGAATATCAAAGAGCATCTCATTTGTCTAAGAGTAATAGAGAGGGCATGGTAAGCAAATATCGGTCGCGCGACATTTCAAGATCGGTGACACGTACTCAATTGGCTTATTTTACCAAATGATTGGACGGAAGGCAGTTGAGTTGCTACACTCGTTAATAGAACAGAGCAGTCGTCTTCGGTCAACAAATCAGATGAATGTTGCAAATTATTTACTGAAATTGGCTGAAATCAGGATGGTATATACTACATGGACAATAAGTACTGGGATACGTGTCGAAGCATCTATTAACAAACAGTTATCACTCAATTAGACGTCTACTCACCAAACATCGGCGCTTCCATACGTGCTCTCCTCCCTCTGCTTAAGTGAACGATTTCATTATCGTAGTAGCTACTTAATGGCCATTATACGACTTGCTGAGATCCTTTTGAGTTTCAACCTAGCCACCAGATCTATTGGCATGATAGAAAAGATTATGCCAGAAGTAAGAGCTGATATATCATGTCCTTATCGATTTCCTTAGCGTATTTACGAACTTCGGTCTATTTTTTTAGCTGCTTGCAGAGCATTCTTTGCGTTTACAATCAGTTGGACAATTGGTGTATGCTGAATGTATTATCGCAAGCATTACTGAGGATCAACGGGGTTTGTAATATTTAATTCGATTCTGTTATTTACCATCAACAAACGATTAAATTCTACTGATAATTAAGCAGTTGGAAGAACACCTACGAATAGTCTCAATGATACGATTCCATTCTTGGATGCAGCTCTTACAGGTATGTTATATTCTTTGCGTGTATCACCACCGCTTTCACATAATGAATACGAGTCGACGATTCATTAACTCAACTACAGGTTTTTCTCGCCTATTTTCAATCGCCGAAGCCCTCAAAGTGCTTCAGTTGCAAGCTTACGTTTACAATGCGATTGGATCTCTTTCTTCACGGAATGAGGCTGCTTCTGCGTATCTAAATCTACTTAATCGCCTTGAATATAATGAGAGCAGACATCCTGACCATGATAGTTATTATTATGGCACGTAAATTAAGAACGATAATGGATTATTTGATTAATGAGTGTGTCCACAAAGACTTGTCACACGTATAGAAAGACAGTCTCGACCTGAATGTGAAAACCTGCCAAATCAAGGCGTGATGCCAAACACTAGCCTGTTGCAATACTGAAACACCAAAAGTCTTAATGAGAAAACTTAACACGTAGACATAAAGAATGAGCATTTCTAACATACCGGGCAAACAAAAAAGAACGATTGGTATTAGTATTTATCATTTATGAAATCACAGAAAGAATTATTTGTTTTCAGCCAAGAAGTTTCTTTATAATAAACTAACTTACACAGATCAATAATGCTTCCCATCAACACGCAGCCTAGACCAATGTGAAAGATCACTCATAATACAGACAGCACGGTTGCTAGTACGCCATATTTATTTGTGTATGCTCCGTATTCTATCGTTAATGATCTTATGCGAAATGCTCTATCGAAGAGGGTTGCCAAACACTCCGCTTCAAAGTTGCAGTTTGATTGGTCGTGCTTGATTGGAAATTTGATATCTTTGTAATACGCGCATACTTGCTATTATTTAAAAGCGCCGTATTGCACAAGTAAAACGTGTGTTGTCAATAAGAAGCATCAATCTACTTCAACTCATTCATCAAGGTACTCTCTGGCCCGTACGTTATGATACATATGCCTGGTAAGGGCACCAAAGAAAGAATGTAAAACGTGTTAGTCGCAATACGGTCAGCTAATCCTAATATATCGTTAGGAAAGCCCCAACCAATGCGAGATAGTTCCCTACGCGCACGTCTATATAACGAGCCGATACAGTTATCAGAATTACCGCAAATAGACGTCGCAAAAGTGCGTACGGAGCTTGGAAAGTTAAGGCCAGGACCTCTGCCAGGTGTAAGTTATTACCTATAACTGTTTATCACCAATTTGCCATCTCTTTAATCTCCTGGAATATTACCAATGGAATTGTATAGTTTGACGCAACAAAATACGGTCTGGAAGAAGTGGGTGGTGATGATGACTCGATGGTGGACACTCCACAATCATCCCAAAGTGCGCTATTAAGTCACTCTTGTTTAAACTCATACAACTATTGGCATCCAAAGTTTTAGATTCATTTAATTGCGTTTTACTTGTCCTTATTACGTAATATGCATGATCGCGCACTTCATGTGAAGGCATGTAAAAAAAACACGCCAAAACGCATCACTTGCTGACACCTCCCACAATTTTCTATCTACTTCAGTACGTATAGTAGGAATGTCTTTGGACAAAGAAAAGGTGTGCCACCATTTACATGTGTTTATAGCACGTTTACTCGAGTGTTATTGAATCTGCATCTCAACTCTTGACAAACAAGAAACGGAAGCATAAACAGAAGAAGGACAAAGATTACAAGAAGGATGGAATAGAAGGCGAACGAAAGAGAAAGAAAAAGAAGAAAGTGATTAATTTGCAGAAATCTTAGGAACTCGTCCACCTGTCAAGCCAATCAATCAATATACTCGAGGATTATGGACATTTGTTAACTGACTTCGTTCTCGCAGAAGCTATTGTTGTGCTTTTCAATTTGCATAAGTAAAATATATCGAAATACAGTGCCTACTCAAAAGTCTCCCCTCACCGTAGTGACTTGGTGCAGATTCGTAGACCGATAAGGAGTAAATCAGTACATTAGTAAACTAAGTGCCCCTCTCGTTTAAAGGGATTGAAAGTATACAGTCACACCTCGATATACCGTATTTCTTTGACTAAAATGCCCCCCCCCCTCGAGCAAAGTACCCTTCAGCAATTTGTAAGCATTTTGTAATTAACGAAAGGTAACAAGAATTTATCAGCCTACCACTTATTCTCACATATTGTATTGATATTCTCTTCATAAATACCTTATTACTAAATCGCGCTCTGCGAAGTAGTGTTGATCTGATACAACAAATTCTTTGATAGTTACTTTCCCCCTCAAAGTAAAGGTATAACTGTATAGGTCTGTTACCAGATTATGTGACCGTACAAAGGTAATATTATATGGTCCGGGGATACACTAATTTATGTGCCGAAATAAAAATGTCGACCTCGAAAATCCAATATGCTATAATAGAAAATTTTTAAATAAATGATCAGTAGCTCTAAGGATTGGTAAACGCAAATTATTATTCGCTTTCGTTATTGGTTAAAGTCTTCTATGGGGAAGATAAATGATCGGTACAGAAAGTATTTTATACATATGGTGCACCAATTCTAATACTCGACAATAAGACCACCTGTCTTTAAAACCTTTCGTAATCACAAAGGTTACTGGCTATTGATTTTCCTCTCAAGCAAAATCCGATAATTTTACTGCCCATTCAGCAATTCTTCCTTTTTTGCAAATTTTCGGATGGTAGTTGGCCTTTACTAGGACAATTACTATGACAGTTTTTTCGTTACACCTGTTGAGTATAGCGTTGGTGCACCATAGTACATATCAAAAAGTTAAATTAATGTAAAAAATGTCATTCAGTCAATATTGACACCATAGGCAGGTTCGATAAGTCGGTCCGAGATGGCTGGCTCTTATCGAGAGAGACCGACTCATCGAATTTACGTGACTAATTTAGCAATGCTTGTTTGTGTTGAATAATCATCAATTCCCCATTGTTGGTACTCACGGAGCTCTTTTTTTTTTAAGATTAGTGAGTGTTTTTAATTTCCATGACTATTATTCGTTGCAACGGAACAATCGGGTGACTTGTATACACAAGCTCGAATAAAATCAAAGTAAAAAAAATTTTATATGATCGACTGTACTGAAATAGTAATGATATTGATATCATATAGCAGTAAAGGAGGCTGACCGACTTACAGCTTATCGAGACTTTTCATATGTTGACCGACTTATCGAAAGATTTTAAATATTGAAAAAAAGGGCTTAATATTTTTGACCGAGTTAGGCAAAACTGCCTATGTATATACAGCATGACCCCACCCTCGATATATATGTTGACCGTGTTACATAAATTTTACGTTATTTCTATTTATAGTTAAACTTCAATGTTGTGCACCTCGATCATTGTAACACAATTTCCTTTCATGTTATGATATGTAACTTTAAGCTACTAAAATTGGTACAAACCACCGACTTAGCGAGATTACTACTACACTCCATGCAATTTATTAGAGAAAGCAAAAGCAATGGCTCAAGAGAAGTTCAACACTTACATTTTACAAAGGGATAAATAATGAAATTAGAATATCAAACTATTGAGTTAAGAAAAGGAGATAAATGGCATTGTAATTTCTGCCCTTTTGAAAAAGAAAGAAGTTTAACTGCCACTTACAAAGTAAATTTTTCTTTATAAAAGAATAACCTATAAGGGAACAGGAACATTAATTCTGAAAAACGCCTATATTACATGTACCTCCATATAAGTGCATTGCATGCTGATTGGCTAACAACGTTTTATTATTATTATCTAACTAGAAAAAGGTGCAAACAGAGCGACCGATTAGAATCTGGACCTCATTGTTCTCACAGGTACGTAACTTTTATTAAAAAGTTATCACGGCACGAAACATCATTATATTGTCCCAAATAACTGCAATTTTTATATATTAGAGTGAGAAGGTTATATGATTATGGAAAAATGTATGAAAATTCAAAAAACCAGACCAGCATCTAATTGGTCAATAAAATATTTTGTTATATAATCTTGATAACTCCATAAGAACACCTCTATGATAGAACACAATCTGACTCCCGACCATGTTCTTTTACGGAAGGTCGACTAGTCTGTTATATATGAAATTTTATTGGTTTATATATATACTTTGTTAACAACGCCTAAGCTGGGCAACCTTCCAGCCAGATCTGTTATATCGATGGTCCGTTATATCGACTTTCAGTTATATCCCACTTCAGATATCCCAAAAAGTCTCCGTACGAACATTTACGAGCCGCCCATTTGAATTGTGCGGGTCAAACCGATGTCGCACAAAAACAGAGGCCCATATATATATTATTACATTAAAACCTCCATAAATGCAACCTCAATAAGTGCAATCCCTCTCTAAATGCAACATTTTGCTCGGTCCCAAGCTTGGGACTTAGTGAATAAATGCGAGTCCCGTTCTAGTAGATTTATTTCTCCAAGTGCAATTTACGTGATTCACGTAATACAAAAATGAGCAACACAAGGTACAGACTTGTTTCACGTATAATATTAACATCACTATTCGGCATTATTTGTTACGGATCGAGTTTTCTTTCTTCAGTATTTGACTTTATCTTGTTTACAAAAATTTTGAAACATAAAATGTAATAAAGGAAAAATCTGTTAATCAAAAAATCTCTTCTAATAAAGAAACCTCTATAAATGCAAAACCTCCATAAATGCAACATAGCCCCTGGTCCATCGCACCATATTACTATGTTCTTTGCTAAACACATTCGTGTAACTTACAATTAAGTGGTTAAACAAGACAAAAAGAAAAGGAAAAGAAAAAAACTTTTTCGAAAAGTGTTTAAAATAGACACTATGTAAATGACAATAATACTTGAAACGCGTTTTAAAAACCCCCCAGTAATTTCAAAATTCTGTAACCTCCTAAAATTTGGCATGTGCCGCACAGATTATTGTGATTACAGTGATTGTAGTCATGTGATCGATGATTGATAATAAAAATTTTTTTATATCTATGTTGGCATACAATGAACAACTATGCTTTCATTGCGGGAGTGAATAATAAATATGAAATTTGTTGTCGTGACAAGGAACAAAAAGCCAAACGAAGTATAAAAAGGGCTTATTCAATAATATTAACCTTTCATAAGAGATCGTAATAATTTTTTGGGTATGGGATGATGAGTGTCATTTACTTTGTGCTCCACTTGCAATAGTAACTTTCAAAGACTTCAAACTTCTTTTTATTGTAGCTTCCCTCGATAACCTCAACGGCAACGATCCCATCAATGGTCGTATACGTTTACCTCTAACGAATATCACCATCGATCGAGCTCTTGTACCCGCATATGAGTATGCGCATATCTACGAGAGAGCAATGTAATGTTATTCCATACAATAAAACATCAAATACCTTCTTCCGTGTAATTCCACAATATTTCAACGAGCGCCATAGTGTTGGAATCGATACTCGCTTACGTGTTATTGCTTCCATTTCATCCAAATACCAATCGACCCTTTCCTCTGCTAGTTTCTTCAGATTCTGTTATTAAATGTGTGTTAGCATTTATGGAAAATAAGGAAAATTTCAACAATCTGCTAAAGACCTTCATGTCGGATTAGCTACACAATTCCATCTCTTAAAATTCCTTAAAGTCTTGCATACGCCTGAATAACTCATATAAAGAAGTTCGCTAATCCGCCGTTTACTGTATTCGTCTTGATACAAGTAAACTACCCTCCACTTCAAGTCTTCGCTAAATGAACGTCCCCACACCTAAAAGTAGCGTTTACACAGAACGCAATCTTAGAATCGCTTGAAGTTAAACTGTAATCGCCTGTAATCAGTTGTAATCGTCTGCAATCACCTGCAATCACCTGTAATCGGTTTGTAATCGCCTTGTAATCTCGTGTTCCACTTTTCACGAAGGAAGTTGTAACTTGGCACACTAGTCTCTACAAGCTGCAAGAAGGTTACAGTCGTGGAAAGCGAAACTTGTATTCACTATACCTATAGACTTTCGTATAATCTACGAAAGCCGTTTTTTTTCTGTCCCGTGGACAAGGTGGGAGCCATTAATTAGAACTACAGCCATCATTCAGATTCGATCTCGTTAATATTGAAACCACAATATAGTCACTCTTGATATAGTCACATGCTGCAATTTACGGACTCATTTACCTCTAACTTAATTACTGTCACACCCATTTATGATCTATACATACACTCCCCTACAATAAATTACCGGATTTCTTGTCAAACACATAGTAGAACATATGAAATTTTTATTTTTTTAAAGCACGTATCTACTATGTAAGTCACGACGATTTGGTATCGATTCGAAGATATCGAAATTTGCAGTTCAACAAAGTGACGGGTATCTATGTTACAATATGAAAATATACCATCATTTCTCTCGAAAAGTAATTATCTTCAAATCGGTACAAAAATCATCTTTAAAAAAATGAAAATCCGGTAATTTAAGGGGAGTGTAGTGATCAAGATATAACTGGTATAATTAACCGAAGGACGAAGTGCCTCAATGCAAACAACTCTTTGTTACGAGAAGCAGCTAGTCAAAAACGAATCTTAAGCTTGAATCACATTTTCCACTTTCTCAAACTTCAATTTGTTTTGCGCCGGACCCATAAGTATTCACATGCTTATTATTGCTTTAATTTTTCGTATTATTGCTTCTTCAATTATAACTTATATTCAAAATAAATACAATACATTTATACATTAGCTTATATTATAGTTGACTTGTTTTTTTAAACCTCAAAGTATCGGGGACGGCATATTGTACCCTATCCAGTTCCTACAAAAAGTAATGCAATTAAGTCTATTTTTTTTTTAAAAAAAAACACATTTTAATGTACCTTGTCAATATCTTCAATCCTGCGAGCAAGTCTCTCTCGCTCTGTTGATGATGGCTCACCATGCTGTTCGAGGACAAGCGTCTCTCGTTCCACATGGAGTTTTGATATTTTCTCACTCCGCCATCCTTCCACCTCGTTTCGCACGTAGTGACCAAGGATGAACGGGTGATACGCAACCACTCTTTCGGGATTTGACAAATCCCGAAAGTTCCTGATAAAGGGCTCTACATCTCGTAACCTGGGGTCCTCGCGAATTTCGCGGTCTATCACCCCGGAGCCCCACAACAATCCGAAAGTATTGAATAAAATGGCCCACACCCGGGTGAGCAACGGCCTCACCCAGCGAGGCGTATGCGGGTTATTGAGAACTCTTCGACTCCTCTCTAAAAGTTCCTCGTCACGGACGAGAAGTCTGATTATAGGTGTAGATATCGGGAAATCGATATCCGCTAATAATGCCACTTCCTTTGCGTAAAGCACGCAATTGCGTTGGAACACCTACGCAAAATACGCAATAGGATTAGAACAATAAATAATAACAAGCGAATCTGTCATACTTACTTGGTACGTGTGTTCCTTCGCAAGCTGATCGAGTTCGATTTTGCGCTTCATGCGCAAAAATTCTTCCTCCTAGAAACGATACAAGTTCAGAAATAGAACGGTATCCTTCTAAGACTTGTCAACAATGACCTACCGAAATCTCCACCGCAATGACGGTGTAGTTGCCCCGCCAGAATTCCTGAGAGAAGTCAGCTGTTAATTAAAAATATCGAACCACTCTATACAATTATTTCCTTACCGACACGTCCGGGGACTATTCAAATCATAAAGTAGCAAGGAAATAGATGTCAGTATAGATTTTTTGTTATCAACGAGTTTTATTTCTGCTCACCATGAACTTGCTGGCCTTTATCTTCATCGGAAACACGAACTGTTCCGTGAAGCCCCTCTAATTCATAGATAGAACAATATCGATTAGTAACAAATATTGCTGTGGCAACATTTGTTGTGTTTATACCTTTGATGGCCGGTATTGCCCAACGGAATACCATTCCCCACGTGGCGTCTTCAAGCGAAACCATGTATGATCTCCCGTCAAGCGGGGTCGATCGATTATCCAGGAACATATTTCCAATAGATAACGATTCCCCCAGGGAGGTGGGGATGGAGATATAAGAAACGGCTCCAGGGATGTCCACTCATAGACTCCCTTATTTATTATCCCGAAGCGAGAATACTGTCCTGCCAGCACAGACGAACCAGGTTCTGCGTATCGTATAAGTGGTCGAATTTCCTATACAATCATTATTAGTATTGACTGAAATGTATACAAAATATATACTTACTACTAGAAATTATTTACTTACATTCCATGGGCGATGTTGACCCTCAAACATTATGAAGATGGTGTTTGCATCAACAACCAACTCATGTCCATGAACATAAAGATAGCGATGCAAACTATTTTGGGCAGCAAATTCTGCGAAGCCCTTGTTGTACTCAAAACACCGCAAATCCTATAAATAAATTAATGTAAGCCTATTTATTTCAGCTACGTCAACCGATCTGCTTTTCACGTACAATATTGCCCAATTTGGAAGCAAGCACTTGGGCAGCCAGTGCCTTGCGAACTTCACCCAATTTCTTGACACGTCTTTCGAACGCGCTTGTAAGTATTACCACCGAGTCATGTAGTGCGACCTACAACTTATCAAACGCAATGAGTTATACAAAATAATGCGCAATAGGATACATATCAAAAGTGATAAACCAGTACCTGAATAGGCCGCCTAGCAACCCGAGCAAGACATTCTGTTAGTTTTATGGCAACATTTTTGCCTTGCTGGAAGCTTTGACGAGCGTATTCTTGCAGCAATTGTTGCACTGCATAATCAATAGGGAAATTAGTATTCTCCGCCCTATTGAACAAGTGAAGTATTTCAAGGTAGTACTGAATCCATTAACGTAAAAAAAGCATCTTGTTACTAACCATCAACAGTCTTCTCATCTCCGCTAGTATTAAGAGTCTCCGTCCTGTTATTTTCATTCCAATCCATGTTTTCCCATTCTTCTTCACTCGACGACTCTTCCGTTGCCAAATTCCTCAGCCGCTCCCCAGCTAGACGTCGGATACGAGCAAACTCATATTTCGCTCGATCTCTCAAAAGTTTAATAAGACCTATGTATGACATATGACTTAACAAGAGCTACAGTTATATATGTCAACAATTGTGTCCCACATATATATACCTTTAAGTGTAATGTCTAGCGAGACAATTATACCAGCATCATGTCTTACGGTAATTATAATACTGTACTGTTCCCATGGAAGAACAGTACCAACCTCGTATAACACGGTGGCAAAATTTCTATCCTCCCAACTAAGATTCATCATTGGTATTTTCTTCGAATGAAAATAACCAACTCCTCTTAAAAAGCCGATCGCGAATTCCAGCTAATTAAAATGTCTCGCTTAGCATCGTAAACGAATTGCGAATATATTTTAAATTCGTGCGACTACATACCTGTTCGCATGGTTTCAAAGGAGGATCGGCGTTTTCTATGTAGGTCTTCAGTGCTTTGGATATTATTACTTGTAATCCATAGCACCGAGACCCATGATCACACACCTTTAAATAAATGTCGGCTAAGCTGGCTTGTTCCACGCTGGTATCAACGTTCACAATGAATCGTCGTTGGTATGCAGTGTAAATCAGTCCATATACAAATCAATCGTATAGTTACCTCGAAGCAACTGCGGCATTACGAGTATTGTGTTTGACCAACCACCAAAAACCTTGTTCTTGAATCCAAATATAAAATTTTCGAAAATAATTGATTCTAAATAATAATTATTCGATTAGACATGTTGTTAAATCAGATTTACTGTAATAAAGTCACCATTAGACACGCGTGCCAGTCAATCGAATAACATACCGGTAAGGAGTTGATCTCCTTACAAGAAGTTTTTGACCATCATTCAATGTGACCTTGTAAACCTAATTCAAACAGGCATTGTCTTTAGAGACAAGATCAGTTTTTGGAAGCAGAAGAACGCATAGGAAGACATACTTCTTGCCAAAATTCCAGGCTCTTCCTAGCAATGAGAGGATCGGCAACTAAGCTGTCAACGTATTCCTTGATGTTGGTGGCATTGGCTCGTACTTCCCGCAGCTCACTACTTCGACAATACGTATTCTTAATCATGGTTAAGTAAAGCATTACGAAAGTATCCGACAAACCTTGTGGTCGTTCTCCCAGGTCGAAGGAGATAAACATAGCTAAGTAAGAGAACCCCTACGATAAATGCCCAAAAACCTATCCCTAATAATAGGCCACTGACAAAACTTTCTGTCTGCATAATTAGATTCAAAGTAATACATAGTAGACAGACAGACATTCTTTGAATGTGAATTATATTTCATACACGAATCACATGCTCTGAAAGTTCCACATGAAAATCAACAATGGTTTACATATGCGAATTTTTTGCATAGGTTTTATGACATAGCTTTTTGCTATTGAAAGTATCAGCAAATGATCGCAGAAAGTGGATTCCTTAGCCGATCGCGCATAACTCAAGTAATAGCAAAATGGCAGTTATCGTCACTCTTTGATATAGTCACATTCAGCAATATAGTCACACGTTGCCTATGAAAATGAACTCGATATAGTCATACCTTGTTATAATCACTCAATTTTCATAATATTTTAACATTGTAAGTTCTGAGTTTGCTCATGCTTGGGTTATTAAAAAGTTTCATACAATTATCTTGTCGAGAATAAATTATGCAATTTATTACGAAAAGTCCCTTTTTTTCTCTCAAAGTACTCTCCATTAGCATCTATGCAACTAGATTTGATTTGAGGGAATAAGAAACAATCACAAGATTTCACTCGTTCGCTGTGAACTGTTGAAAATAAAACATCACTAGTCTTACTATTACGCCTTATTTTTTCCCCAGTCGTCTTAGTTGGTTACATACAAGCATGCGCATTTTATGATAATTCCATTATGTAGTTAACTTGCGCCAGGTCATGAGTCCCCATGTATGTGAAAATTTAGTAATCTACGCGCTCAGAATAGTATTCAAGCATAGTTGTGAAGGAAATTATAATAAAAAACTGCTTACTACATCTAACTGCTTTAATTCTACATTTCATGCTTAATTTACATTTCTGCAGCAAAACCAAAGTGAACGTTCTGTTACTGACATATAGCTGAATATCCATTAATTTGATTAATTATTAATATCATTTTGATTATCACAGCTGTACTTATACACGTTGTACCTCAGTTCTCAGTTCTAGGCTGAGACACTGAGTTTAAGATACTTGAACTATTCATGATAGATGCATCGACCTAAAAGATCTAAATCTTCATAAAGAACAAGTAACCTTTTTGACTGAGTTTGCGAACAAGCTTAATCTCTTTCCCAGTTGTGATCCCGTGTGTGTATATAATCCAACTATTATAATTAGATAACAAAAATCATGTCAATTTCATATTTATATGACTTGAATAATGTTGCTGTAACGACAAAATGTAATCACATCTGAAGACTCTATTTGCCACAGTTTTCTCTTCCTCTGTGTGTCCGGATTATTGTAATTGTTCCAAAAAGTTTCCACTTTCGACGACTTTCTTGCATCCTTGGAATGAAGAATTATTGGTTAAATTCCGGCTGTATTAACAAACTAAATGTTTGAGTACTATTTAAGATGCGGTCAGAAACACCATACAACACATGGTCAGTAGTATCATGCTGTCTTCGAACTGTTATAAGTCACTACCGACGTTTGGTCATCACTGTGCAACTTCGTGGTTCCACTAGTGTGTAGCAACAATAACACATCCTGACCTTAAACAGGGTACGCAATCTAGCTAATTCATCTATTGAGGCATCTCCAAACACAAAATTTTGTTTTGCGCGCGAATCCATAATGAAGCGACGAATTGGTTTTCTAGGAGTTATACACAAAGAAATGAGCGAGATATCAATTCATCCTCGCTTTCACTTCATTCGTAGCTCAAGTGCCACCATGAACTCTATAAAACACGTCAATTTCGTAAACGATATCCACAGGTTCGTCCTTAGAACAATTTACAATACAACGCAAAACGCACGCAAACTGCATCACATATTCCTTGTTCTGCAAGATCAGACCGTGAAATTACCCAAAAAAATGTTCAAACTTTTTCGTGCTCGTCGTGTTCATGCTGGTATTATACCTAAATACTCGAAAAGTGGAAACCGTATCACTGCTATCAAAAGGCCACGGCGAAACCCGGGCGCTAATACCGAATTGCTACAAAGGATCGATGGTCTTGACCGCAATATAAGTTTAAAATCCCTCTCTACCAAGAGGAAATCTACAAAATGGCATTTGGCTGAAACCGAAACATTCTATATAGTCTATGTGGGTGGGGTAGTTATAGGCAATCGTATATTTTTTCGAAGACCCCAAAGAATAGGAACGCTCATTTTTATGGCCTAGGATCCGAGCATTTCCTCCCTTGCAAGGTTTTCATATTTTTGTTTTATCATCCGAAAAATAAAATCGCAAATCATAAATGAAAATTTTATTCAATCCAGAAGCCTCCCTCAAAAATTTTCCACTTGGTCCATCACACATTGCCGTAAAATTTTTCATATAGTGATGACGGAGTAGCTTGGCAAGTATTGTCCATAATGTTTCTGGGGAAATGACCGTCTTATATAAGAGATGCCGAAAAAATAGATGCTCGTGAGAATTCCGGATTTGACTAAACGTTGAATGTAGCGGTAGGTATTATCCATTTGCGTAACCAACTAAGACGACTGGGGAAAAAATAAGGCGTAATAGTAAGA